CCTGCCGCAAGATCTACAAGAGCTACAGCGGGATCGAGTACCACCTCTACCACTATGACCACGACAACCCCCCGCCGCCCCAGCACACCCCCCTGCGCAAGCACAAGAAGAAGGGCCGCCAGGCCCGCGCCGCCAACAAGCAGTCGCCCAGCCCCTCTGAGACCTCCCAGTCGCCAGGCCGCGAGGTGATGACCTACGCCCAGGCCCAGCGCATGGTGGAGGTGGACCTGCACGGCCGCGTCCACCGCATCAGCATCTTCGACAACCTCGACGTGGTGTCCGAGGATGAGGAGGTTCCCGAGGAGGTGCCCGAGAACGGGAGCAATAAGGAGAACGCGGAGACCCAGAGCGTCCCGCCCAAATCCGGCAAGCACAAGAACAAGGAGAAGCGCAAGGACTCCAACCACCATCACCACAACGCCTCGGCTGGCACCACCCCCAAGCTCCCCGAGGTGGTGTACCGGGAGCTGGAGCAGGACACCCCCGATGCCCCACCTCGCCCCACCTCTTACTACAGGTATTGGCCGTGGCCGGGGCGCGGGGGTCGCTGCGGCGTCGCGCCCCGGTTTGGAGGGTTCCGTGCGGCTGTAGAGCACTCAGTCGCTGATCCGGTCATTGCCGGCAGTTTGAGTGCTGCGCTCTTTCCTTGCTGGGATGGCAGGCACAGTTGTAACAAAAAACGAGTGCGTCCTCCTGCCTTCCCCGCTGCTCTTCAGAGCTGTGCTGGGATAGCTCTGGAGCCTCCCGGCACCGGGGTTTACCCGTAAGGTGTGTGCGTTCGCGGGCTTTAATGTGTCTTTGTTGTCTTACGGTTTTTCCGTGAGTGGTTTGCAAGTGCAGTGGCCCAAAATAATACCTCAAGCAGGGAGATAATGCTGAACCAAAGTAAGAGTTGTGCGGCTACCCCTGCCATCGTAGTCACCACGCACCCCGAGGAACCGGCACCGCGTTCCAGGGACGGGATGGGTACATTATTTGGTGCCAGGGTGTTGGAAGAGAAACCTCCCCGTGGGGTGTCTGCAGTGGTGCTAGCTGCGACGGCGGGAGGGGGTTGCTGTGAGTCGCTGGAGCAGCAGCCTCAGGGTTCCAGCTCTTTCCTCTCTAAGTAACATCCCCTCACCCACAACTCGGAGTGAAGGAGAAGAGGGCGCAGCCACCCTCGCCAGAGCTAACAGAATGTGGTGCCTCCATGCCTGGTTGCTGTTGTGTCTTGGGCATGAGGCCGCTGTCTCCAGAGCAGCTGGCACCTGCGTGGTGACTCGTGCAGGCTCCCGTCGTGCGCTGGTGAGTCTCCAAGGCCCGCGCCTCGCCCGTTAGACGAGTGTTATTTCGTCTGTGCTGTGGCCAACACGCCGCTGCGCTGCTCGGGGTGCAGCAGCACCTCCTGTTTCTGCACGTTCCTGCCTTGGCGTTGCGGTTTTGTTTTGACTTATGGCCTGGCTGTAGCGTTTGAACGTTCCCTCGGCCCTGGCCTGTGCGAGTTAGGCTTCAGCAGCCCCACGCGCCCGCCGGCCGGGCCCTGACCCTCCTGTGCTGTCCTTCCAGGTACATCGAGAAGTCGGCAGAGGAGCTGGACGAGGAGGTGGAGTACGACATGGACGAGGAAGATTACATCTGGCTGGACATCATGAACGAGCGGCGGAAGACCGAAGGCGTGAGTCCCATTCCCCAGGAGATCTTTGAGTACCTGATGGACCGGCTGGAGAAGGAGTCCTACTTCGAGAGCCACAACAAGGGGGATCCGAACGCCTTGGTGGACGAGGATGCCGTCTGCTGCATCTGCAACGACGGGGAGTGCCAGAACAGCAACGTCATCCTCTTCTGCGACATGTGCAACCTGGCTGTGCATCAGGAGTGCTACGGGGTGCCCTACATCCCCGAGGGACAGTGGCTCTGCAGACGGTGCCTGCAGTCACCCTCACGAGCCGTGGACTGCGCCCTCTGCCCGAACAAGGGGGGGGCCTTCAAGCAGACGGACGATGGGCGCTGGGCACATGTGGTCTGTGCCCTCTGGATCCCGGAGGTGTGCTTTGCCAACACCGTCTTCCTGGAGCCCATCGACAGCATCGAGCACATCCCGCCCGCCCGCTGGAAGCTGACCTGTTACATCTGCAAGCAGCGCGGCTCCGGGGCTTGCATCCAGTGTCACAAAGCCAACTGCTACACCGCCTTCCACGTCACCTGCGCCCAGCAGGCCGGGCTGTACATGAAGATGGAGCCCGTCCGGGAGACGGGGGCCAATGGCACCTCCTTCAGCGTGCGCAAAACCGCCTACTGCGACATCCACACGCCACCGGGCTCCGTGCGCAGGCTTCCCGCCCTCTCCCACAGCGAGGGGGAAGAGGAGGACGAGGAGGAGGAGGAGGAGGGGAAGGGATGGAGCTCCGAGAAAGTGAAAAAAGCAAAGGCCAAGTCTAGGATCAAGATGAAGAAGGCGCGGAAGATCCTGGCGGAGAAACGAGCCGCGGCGCCCGTGGTTTCTGTGCCCTGCATCCCCCCGCACAGGTACGACCTGCCGCCCTCCCTTGCTGTGGGGAGGCTTCTCCCTTGCTCCGCGCCTCGTGTCCCGCTTTCCACGTGGGCGTTGTCTGGTCCCTCTCCTTAGCTTTTCGCACCGGCGCTTTTCGCTTCGCTCTGGCAGAGGGCTGTTGGTGTCCTGCAGAGAGGCTGGGCGATGCGCTGGCCCGCAAAGGTGTCTGGGTCCCAGGAAATAGCTGCTGTGAGTTTAGCGGCAGAGAACGAACTTGGCCGGCCGCACCAGGAAGCAGCTGAGGGTTCCCAGCGCTCCTTTCCTGCCGTGCTGACCTCAGGCACGGAGCAAGCGAGGAGGAGGGGGCTGCTCTCCTTTCTGCCTTCGTTTCCTCCCAGGGCTGTGCTGGGGAAAAGAGGGAAGTGTGGGAATGATTCAGGCCTGGGAAATGGGCTAACCCCGGGGGTCGGTTGGGCTCTGGAGCGTGGAGGTCTCGTATCGGGATCCCTGCACCCTGCTGAGCACAGCTCATCCATCCCAGCGACCGCTTGCCCCTTGCTGGGCTTCCTCAGTGCTTTGTGCCTGTCGCAGGCGGCAGCTCTGCCCCGGTGCTGCCTGTTGGAACGGGCCTGGGTGGCAGCGGGGTGCAGGCAGCCTGCGAGGGGCGGCTG